ACCTAGGGGAGGCCGGAGATGGTCGGTCAATAGCAGGAGAATGCGGCCTTCGGAGGCCATCTGGAGAGCCGCCACACAGTTTTGGGATCCCTGCTCTAAGACTCCGCCCGGCACCAGTGCCCGGGAGCTGACTTCGTGACTTTCTGGACCCGCCCTGGGCCTATGACTCCGCCTCCAGCCTTGGCTCTGTCCCAGACCTCAAGGGTGGCGGTAGCATATTCCCCCCCCCCCCCCCCCGACACACACACACTCTAGTGCTCTTCCTCTAAGACCTACTCTCTGAGTTGAAGGTGGCGGTCCAAGTTGTCCCTTCTCCGTATCCTTCATTTGAATGGTGATCCTGATCTAAGCATTCCCGCCTTCCTATGCGACTTTCCCTGCTATCTTCAGTCCTTACCCCCCCAACCCCCCACCCCGATACTGCTGACTGAAATAGCCTACAAGTCCAGAATCCTCCCCCTAACCCGAGGGTGCCCCCTACTGTCAGAACCGAGGGGTGCTGTCTTTTATGACCTTTAAATTGAACTCTACTAAGGTTGAACTAAGTTCTACTGCGTTGAACTCGGGACTTCAACTTCTCCGCCCTACCCTACTTCCTTAATCTGGTCAGACTGCCTACACATCATCTTTCAAACCCTGACTCTCTGGTCTTGCCTATGGCTTCTTTTGCCGTCCCTTAGTCTCAGAATAGTGTGCTCAGGTTTTCTGCCATCCCTCTCCCAGCCTCGGTCCCATCCTTGGCGCCCTTCACTCAATGGTCCCAGCACTGCAGGTTGGCCTCCCACTCCCCTCCCCCGCACCTCACCAGTCTTAAGCACTAGCAGGTGCAGCGCGTCATCCTGCAAGTAGGAGGCAGCGGCGATCTCGTGCGTGGGGATGCGCAGGATGAGCTCCTCGTTGTCCCGCCAGGTGAGCAGCAGGCAGCGGGCCGACAGGCTCAGAATGCTGTCCTGCTCCGGCGTGGTCTTCAGAGGCAACTCCTTCAGCTGCTGCGGGGTGGGTCGGATCACCTGAGCCCCAGGGACTAGGGTAAGGGAAGGGGACCCTGCCCTCCTCCCTCCTCTGCAGAGCCTCACCCTGGCGGTGTCTAGCAGCTGCAGGAGCTCATCTCTGCTGGAGGGGTTCAGTGAGGAAGTCACCCAGGTGAGGTGGCCCAGGAACTGGATGGGAAATGGGAGGTCACCGTGAAGCCTTGGGAGATTCTAGCCTCCTTGTTAATGCAGGGCAGGCTGAAATCTCAATGATAACCAGTGTGGTGGCTAATTTTGGTTGTCATCTTGACTACATATGGAATCAACGCAAATCCAGGCAGCAGGGCACTCCTGTGAAGGGTTTTCTTGATTGTATCATTTGAAGTCAGAGACCATCATAAATCTGGGCCACACTTGGTGCGCTCTCTCTCTCTCTCTCTCTCTCTCTCTCTCTCTCTCTCTCTCTCTCTCTCTCTCTCCTGTTCCTGTTCTGCTAAAAAAAAACCTGGGCTAATAATCCAGTTCTGATATATATATTTCCCCCATTCATTCACCTTTGCTTTAAGGATTATAAGACTCAACACAGTAGTCTGGTCCAGTATTATAGCTAGAAAGGGTAAGGCTGGCCAGATTGTAGTGGAATATGCTTGTAATCCAGCACTTGGGAGGTAGAAGCAGGAAGTTTAAGTGTCCAAGGTCATCTTTGGGTACATAGCAAGTTCAAGATCTCCCTGGGTGACATCATATTCTGTGGGGTAGGGAGAAGGCTTGATTGATTACATGTGCCAGAGCCCACTTCCAACAGCTAGCGCATATTCACTAGCACATGGCCATCTCACTCTACGAGGTTCTGCAGGAAGCAAAAGTGTTCCCTGCCCCGCCTCACTGCCATGCTGACGATCAGGTTTAGAGCTTCTTTACCCGCTAGGCCAGACTGCCATTTTTTGTGTTTATGTGTGTGCATATTCCTGTGAATGAGAGCAGGCATATGCCACAGCACCTGTGTGGACGTCAGGGGATAAGCTCTCGTCTTCCACATTGTTGGAGGCGGTGTGTGTGTTTTATACTTCACATGCCAGAAGAGCTGGCTCATCAGCTTCCAGGGATTCTCCACCTCCCCCTACCATCTTGACTCTGTGGGGTTTTTTTAGGGTCATAGGTGAATGTTTTGTGTGCATTTGACTTTACAAGAGTTTGGGGATTGGTATTTTGTTCCTCAGATTTGTCAGCAAGCACTTTACCCATTGAACCATTCCCCTCTCCACATCTGCCCTAGGCTCTACTATTAAATCTTGAAGGAACCCTGGGAACTGTCTTGCCCAGTGACTCTCCCTACCCCATGCGTTATTAATCCTTTTAGCAACCTCATTGCAGATTAAGTGGAAAGGAGCATTGAATTAATATATTATTTCTTTCTTTTTTTTTTTTTTTAAAAAAAATGATGTTCTCTTGCCAGGCGGTGGTATTGTAGCACTCAGGAGGCAGAGGCAGGTGGATCTCTGTGAGTTCCAGGCCAGCCTGGTCTTCAGAGTAAGTTCCAGAAAAGCCGGGGATTCACAGAGAGACCCTGTCTCAATCAAACAAACAATAAAAGTAATAAAAAGCTTTATTGTAGGAGTTGCCAACAAATGACTGCCCTAACTTGAGGCCCACACCGCAAAAGGGAACCCATGCCCAATACTGCCTGGATGACCAGGAACCTGAAACTGGGTAGAACAAAACAGGACTGACAAAAAAAAAAAAAAAAAAAAAAAGGTCAATTGATTCCTGACACTATTCTGCTATACTCATAGATCAGTGCCGAGTCCAGTTGTGATCAGAGAGGCGTCCTCCAGCAGCTGATGGAAACAGATGCTGAGACTCACAACCGAACTTTAGGCAGAGCTTGGGAAACCCTATTAGAAGAAAAGATTGTAGGAGCCAGAGGGGTCAAGACCACTATGAGAACACAACCCACAGAATCAACTACCTAAGGCTCAAAGGGCCCACAGAGACTGAAGCTACAATCATGGAGCCTCCATAGGTCAACCCCAGGCCTTCTGCATGCATGCTGTGGTTGGTTAGACTGGGATTTTTGTGGGACTCCTAACAGTGGGAGTGGATGGGGGCATCTCTGGCTCTTTGGTTTGCTTTTGGGACCCGTTTACTCATCTGTGTTACCTCGTCCAGCCTTGATACGAGGGTTTGTCTTACTATCTAGACTAAGTGCATCTTGCTATACTTTGTTTATTTGGTATCCCTGGGCAGCCTATTCTTTTCTGAAGGGAAACAGAGGAGAGGAGAGGTGGTGGTGGGGAACTGGGAGGATTGGAGGAAGGGGAGGTTCTGAATAGGATGTATTGTACAAGAGAAAAATAAATAAAAAGAAAAAATGATGCTCTCAGTCAATATGTGAGTTCCCCATCCATTCTTAGTTATGGCAACATTATTTAAATGTTATTATTCAGTATAAGAATTAACGTTTTATTACTTTAATTGCAGTCTTCTGGGATAATCTCACCACTCATATTTTTTTCTTTTTATTCTTCAAATTATCAGTCCTTGGTTTTCTGAGAAAAACATATTCATTTTCTGGCTTTTCTCTATTTATAGGGTTGCCAGATAAAATACTAGATGTCAGTTAAGCAACAATTTTGTTTTTAGGATTTTTTTGTACCTTTGGTTCCATTTAACATTTGGAGCATATTTATGTTAAAACAAATAATCCTTACTTGTCTGCAATTAAAATTTGATCAGGTAGCCTGTTCGTTCAATGCTCGAACCCTACCTCACACCAATCTTTGGCTGTGAGAACCTGTTTCCCTCCCCAGTGCTCCTTCTTGGTGGTTCAAAAATACAAAAGCTTTTGAGTAGTAAGAAAGTCCTCTACTGTGACTTCTCCCCCCACCCCACCTCCAGCCCTGCCTCCTGCACTGGACATGCAGCCTGGCGCCTCCAAAATGCCAGGCGAATGTCCTACCACCGAGCCGCACACTCAACTTCTCCCTTGCCTTTAACTTGGACACTGAGTAGTAGAGACTTCAGACAAAAATCTCATGAGTAGGCTGAGCTTTGGAGAACACAGCACAGTTTCCCACGCAGCTCCCTGTGGGGGTAGGTTCTGAGCCCCATGTTGGGGCAGGAATGCTGGGGGATCCGTGGGTAGGTGTCACCTGCTGAAGATTTGCAGCCTGTGGCCGTGGGGTAGGGGGCTGCTCCCCAAGAGCCACAGCTTCCTTCATGTGAAACAGGGTGTGCCAGGAGTTGGTGTGCCTCCAAGGTCCCCCCACCCCCAGCCTTCTCATGCTCACCTTGACCTCTTTCTCCAGGTAGTCACACAGCAGAATGTGGGGGTCGATGAGGTAGTCGGGAGGATAAAGAGGCATAGAATGCAGGGGCCTGCGACTGACATTGCTCCTGAAGGCAGCCTGGCGTGCAGCCTTTGGGAACACGAGCCTTCGGATGGGGGACACAAAGCCCTGGGGGAGACAGGAGAGTCCCAGTGACAACAGCGCTGGCTTTACTGAGCACTCAGCTCAGTTCTACTTCTACAACCTAAGTCAATCCTCCTAAATCTGCAGGAGGAGCAGCCCTGCGGCTCCTCTTTCCCAGCTGGAGCAGCGAAGCCCCATAACGAGAGCTAGAATACCAGCTGGTGACGGTCCAGGTAGGCATCCCAGCTCCCAAACCTTCTGGGGAGGGTGGTGTTCCTGCCAACCAGATTCAAAGAGCCGCCAAGGCTGGGCGCTAACTGGGGGATGTCTAGGCATTTGTTAAGCTATCGCATGTTCATGAGTTAGAAATAAGCAATCAGTAAGCGGAAGTATAATCCAAAGGCACCAGTATAAGAAGGCCCAGGATGGATCAAGGCTACAGGTGCAGATTCCAGGGCACAGCCCAACCTAGCAGTGCCCAAAGCTCAGAGAATTTGTAAGCTTTGCCCCAGAGTTGCATTCTAGATGGGCATTCCTGGACCAGCCGCAGCAAAACCTGGGATTCTGAGAAATGCTGCGTGCTGGTCCCATCTAGACTTACTGAATATGAAGCCCCAGGGCCTCCCTTCGCTGGTAGCATCTAGAACTGTCTTGGCAGTTCCTATAGCTCTGGGCGCTGGGACTACATATGCCCCAGCCAAACAAATCACAATTTCTGGTAGCATGTGTCGCATGTTGCTTAGTTTCTCCACAAGACAAGTACAAACAAGAGAAGCCGCCACCTAGGAATGTGCATTCAGGACTACATGTTCATTAAACAAATATTCATTCATGCCTGTGCTGGGTGCCGGATGCTGGGATTTGGGAAACACTAGACCCCAGTTTTGCTTCCAGGATCATGACGAGTGGCCGAAAGTAGTGCATGCCAGACTTGACTGTGCTTGAGAATTCTGATTCAGTACGTGTGTGTGTGTGTGTGTGTGTGTGTGTGTGCACAGGTCACGTTCACACCTGTGAAGGTCATAGGACGACCTCGGGTGTGTTACTGGGAGCTGTCTGCCAAGCAGGTCAGGCAGGTTGGTTGCAGTGATCTGCTGTCTCTGTCCCCTACACTGGGATTACAAGCATATGTCACTACTCTGGCTTTTTTTTTTTTTTAAATATGGGTTTGGGTCTCCATGACTGTGCAGCAAGCACTTTGTCAACCAAGCCATCTGCCCAGCTCCCATGTTGCCCTTTGATCCATGTGTCGGAACCTGGAGATGAGACCCCCATGGTCTCTGAGTGATTCTGACATACCACCACTCAAGTCTCCGAGGGACAATCATGGAGTCTGCAGTAGTGTTTGGAAACTCTGAGAAATGAGAGCCAGAAATCTGGAAGAAGCTCTCCAAGCAGAGGACACAGCTGAATAAGACCCCAGAGAGTTCAAAAGCGAGGGAGAGGAATCAGGGCACGGAGAGCCATGCATCTATCATGGCTGGATTATAAGAGACAACTCATGAGAGCCTTCAGAGCTCGTTAGAGCTAGGACGCTGTCCTGTACCCGTGAGTGGTGTGTGCGTGTGTGTGTGTGTGTGTGTGTGTGTGTGTGTGTGTGTTGTCTGTCTGTCTTTGCCCCAAGTGGTCCAGTCCCACCTTCCACCCATCTCTTACTATCCAGCACCCCTTGCCCCCATCTTTCAGCTGCTCAGTCTGTCTAATTCCTACCATGGAAGGAGCATGCTGTTCCTTAGCCCCCACACTCTTCCCAACTTGTTTTCCTTGTACCCATTAGCTCCTATGCCCAACTCAGCAATCTAAGACTGGATATACCCTAACGCTGCATCTTCCAGCACTGAGCGCAGCAGCTTCGCGAAACATTTACATTAACTCCGTTTGTCGCCTTGAAAAAAAGTAATCGTTGTTTCCCTCATGAGACTGTGAGCTCCCGAAGCGGAGACCCTATTTGACATTGCTTGTCATTGTCATCTCTAGCACGAGGCACACACAGTTCATAGCACAGAACAGGTGTTCAGTAAGCATCTATCAAAAGAATGGGCCTTACCAGGTGAGTTCTAGCACTCAAGAGCCTGAAGCAGGAGAGTTGCTGTGAGTTTGCGGCCAGTCTGGGCTAGGTAGTGAGTTCGAGATCATCCTGGGTTACATGGCTAGACCCTTTCTCGTAAATCAATACATAGACCCAAGAGAAGACATGTGTATATTTTGGCCCCAGTGACTCACATGGGCCATATGTGTCAATACTGGGGATTTTTATCTAGGATAAAAATACACAAATATCTCTGAACTGTGTCCCCTACCCTCTTTGCACTTAAAATTCTTATTATCAGTTTGCAGTTTTGAGTATCAAACCTGGGTCTTATGCATGCTAGGCAAGTATTTGATCATGGAGAGACACCCCCAGCCCACTTTCACAATTTTGAGACAGGTTCTTACTAAGTTATGCAGACCGACCTTAAACTTGCAATCCTCTTGCCTCAGTCTCCAGATAGCTGGGATTGCAGGCCTGTGCCATCATACCAGCCTCACGGGAGTACCTTATAAAACATTCTGAACCAGGTTTCTTGGGTGAAGAGGGCTCTGGGGGGATGGGGATGGAGTGGAGTTGGAATTATAACATATAGCAAAACTATTCAAATTCAGGAAAAGAGGAAGATGGGGGAGGGGACTTGGTGATCTGTACTGAGAAGTGAGTCCCTGCCCCAAGGTGGGAGACAACCAGGGAGCAGGTGGGAGGCCCCAGCCTGACTGGGCAATCTGCCAGCCCATAATCACCTTGGCTGGGCCTTTCTATCTGGGAGAGCAGGGAATGTGTCTGCTGGGTGTCTGTCTGTCACTCTCTTTGAGAAGCAGTAGGAAGCTACCCCCAGAATGTCCAGAAAGCAGGTCTCCCAGAAAGATGCCGTCTGTCTCTTGGGACAATATGGCAGAGGCCACTAAGAGTAAAGCTTAGAACGGGGTCCAGATGTCTGGCTGCCAGGGCCAGAAAGTCAGATCCTTCCAAAGGAGACAGAAGGTCTCTCTGGTGCCTTTGCCACCTCCCTGCCAGCTCCTCTCTCGACCCCAGCTTCAGGAAAATTTCTCAACCCTGTCCCTCGCAAACTCCCACCTACCTTCTTCCCCTTCTTGGCTTCATATTCCATGGTGAAACGGTTCCTCTGGTCCTGCCACCCTCCTGGCCACCCCCGCCAGACCCCCCTCACTTCCTTTGTTCTTTTTCCTGCCTGGTCGGAAACTCCACCAGCATCAGAGTTCCTGCCCCTCCCATCTGACGGTGGGGGCTGGGGTAGGTGGAGAACACTGCCTTGGGTCCCCATAACTGAAGGATGGGAGACAATGGTGGTATCCAAGGGCTTGGCAGTTGGAGCAGACTGAGAAAATTCCCCCAAGCTGCAGATCTCCTTTGGATCATCCCCTGTCTGCCACCAACTTTGCTGAGTGACTTTGAAACCTGCTGCCTACTTCTCTGTTTACAGCAAGAGAAAACCCCGTCTCTCCCTGAGAAATAAACGAGAGTGGGTGGAAAGTGCTTCAAACTGTGTCCAAGCAATTTAAGATTAAATTAATAATAATGATGATCATTACTTTTCGGAGGGGAGGTCTATGGGGGCCTCTGGGACTGGCTGCCTGCTGCTTGCTTAACCACTTGTATCTCAGTTTCCACATTCAGCTTGACCTTATGATCGCAAAACTTGATTAAATCCACTCAGAAGAGCTGCTGTAACGTATTAAGTACTCAATAAATATCAGCTCCTAGAGCTGACAGTGTTGCTCAGTAGTGGAGCACTAACCTAGCAGACTACAGGCCCTGGGTTCTGGCCTTAGCACTGCGAATGAATAAATAAATAACCAAATTCTATCTCCTTATCTGTGGCTCCTGGGCTGTCTTTTTGGCATCTTTCATTTCTCTCTTATTCTTTGCTATATCTGGAAACCATGCCTTTTGTTATATAAATTAAAAAAAAAAATCCAGACTCAAGTGTAGATCCTGGCTCAAGGTCACACAGGTGGTGTGCTCAGCAAACATTCTATACTGGAGGTGTGTGTGCCATATAGTGAATATGAGGCCCCAGGGCTTCTAGCTTGGCTGGACCTGAAGTCTAGTGTCCAATGTTGCTGGGACGCTCACGTCCTGTGTGCCTTACGCACACTGAGGAACGTTTGAGGGTCCACGCATACCTGCCACGGTGCCTGGGTCTGGATGCTGAAACTCTGGAGCTGCTCTGCTTGTGTCCCTGACTGCAGTGAGCATTTTAAGCTCTGGGTCCCACCCAAGGAAAGGTGACCCCACATCTCTACCTTGCTGGTCAGGATGTGCCATGGGAGACATGGGGCCACAGATAGTAAAGAGCAGGGGCCAGGACTTGGAACTCTTTGCATGGTGCTTTTGAAAGGGGAGGTGAAAGGTCAGGGCTCTCATTGCTTCTGGGTGTGTGAGCTACAGGACACCCCCAGTTCTAGCCATTTCTGTTTCTCTCTCCCATCAGAACGGAAACGGTCCAGGCAGTTTGGTGCCAGACTCACGGCCTCTCCTTCCTAAGCTTCTACATCTGCCAGTCACGTCTGAGCACCAAGACACAGTCAGTCTGTTGGACCAATGAAAAGAGACCAGGACATGAAAGCCCATCCCTGACTCTGTTCTACGTATCAGAATTGCTACTTGACCCCTGAGTCAGTCTGGAACTCCCGACCCTTGCCATGATAGGAGGCTGTGACGAGTACTCCTGGTGCTTCAGTAACTGGCTTTTGCAAGCCCTTCCTTTTCTCTGAGCTTCAGCCTCCCCGACTGTAATTGGACCTTATATTATTCCAAGAATCACTAACAGGGCCAAATGTCACTGCTTGGACTCTCAGCTAGGACAAGGAGAGTTGTGGAGACGACGAGGAAGACAAAATAGCCTCTGTGTTGCCTGCTGCACCAGAGCCCTGAATAGATTAAGTGCTTAGTGTCAGTAAATCAGCCAGAGACAGACGACCTGGGTTCAATCATGAATGACCTTGAGCAATTTACGTCCCGTCTCAGAGCCCCAGAGTCCTCACGTGTTAAAAGCAGGATAATAATGGCACTCTCCTCAGAAAGCTGTAGCAGGGACAGAATGGAAGAGAAACGTAATGACAACACACATCACCAAACTCAGTCAGTGAATCAAAAATGCGGTAAGCAGAGCCAGCGAAACCCCTGCTGTCAGCCTCATCAGCACAGCGGTCAAGCTCCAGCCCCCGTTAAATCAGCCGCCTGGATTGCCATGGAGAGGATGATAAAAATCACCTCTGTGCCCAGAGGAAGGAGCGGTCATCGCCAATGGGAGTCGTAGGCAGAGAGGAGAGATGTGACAGCTGACCAGAAGAGCCCCACTGTATGGCAAGCAGCTAGTGGGAGAAGCCTTTCCTGCTCAGCCTTGAAGGGCGAGTGCAGGCTAGCTTACTCTAGGCGGAGGGAGCAGCTTGAGCCCACACATGGTCCTGAGTTGTGCCGCTTCTGATGGCAAGAAAGGGCCAGTTCCGACCACAGGAGGCCCAGCAGAAGTCTGATTGTGAGTGTTTGCAGGGCTGGTTGGCTGAGCAGCTCCACAATGGCTTCCACGCCCTTAGGTTTTCCTACTTTGTTTCCTGAGATAAGTTGTATGTGCCGTTAGATTTACACAGTGAAGACTCAAAAGCTGATACTTTAAGATGTGACAGGATTTGGATTTATTTTTCATTCATTCATTCATACGTACATTTATTCATTTATTGGTTTTTCGAGACAGGGTTTCAGCTTTGGAGCCTGTCCTGGAACTTGTTCTGTAGACCAGGTTGGCCTCAAACTCACAGAGATCTGCCTGCCTCTGCTTCCTGAGTGCTGGGATTAAAGACGTGCATTCAACTAACTTTATTTTTAAAGAAAGGATTTCATATAACCTAGGCTGGCCTCAAACTCACTCTGCAAACAAAGATGGCCTCGCCGTTCTGATCCTCCTACTTCTACTTCCTTAGTGCAGAGTTCACACTTGGTGCTGGGGAGGGAACCCAGGGCCCTGAACATGCTAGGCAAGCACGCTACCATCTGAGCTCCATCTCAGTTCCCTTCCCCCAACACTGAGACAAGGTTTCTCTGTGTAGTCCTGGGCTGTTTATGGTAGTTTGAACGTAATTGGCCTCCATAAGCTTATAGGGAGAGGCAGTATTAGGGGGTGTGGTCTCATTGAAGTAGGCGTGGCCTTGTTGGAGAAAGTGTGTCACTGTGGGGTTGGGTTCTGAGGTCTCCTATGCTCAAGCTACCCTCAGTGAGACAGACCACTTTCTGTTGCCTGTGGGTCAAGATGTAGGAATCTCAGCTCCTTCTCTAGCACCATGTCTGCCTGCATGTCACCATGTCACACCATAATGATAATGGACTAAACCTCTGAAAATATAAGCCAGCCTCAATTAAATGTTTTCCTTTATAAGAGTTGTCATGGTCATGGTGTCTCTTCACAGCAATAGAAACCCCAACTAAGACACTGTTCTAGAATTTGCTCTGTAGACCAGGTTAGCCTCAAGCTCTGTGATCCATCCATCTGCATCTCCTTCCCAAGTTCCAGATTAAGGCTGTGTGCTACCATGTACAGGATACACACACACACACACACACACACACACACACACACACACATATAAATTAGAAGAAGCAGTTAAGTTGAAATCCTACTGTTATAAGGGCCTGTATAAGAAAAGGAAGAGATCTGACACACATAAAAAGACACTGGGAACATTTGTGCAGAGACAAGTCCCCCTGAGGTTGCAGTGAGAAGCCAGATCTGCAAACCCAGGAAAGGGGGCCTCAGGAGAAACAAACTCAAAATACCTTCATCTTGGACTGCCTCCAGAACTGTGAGAAAATGGTTTCCCGTCATGTCCTTCTCTCTGTGGATCAGGTCAGGAGAGCCCTAGCAAGCAATGTATCTAGCAAGATGGCTGCAGAGTAGCAGATGTGAAGTCCCTCGGGAAGATGACACCAAGCTCCTCCTTTTAGTGTCTTTTATTTTTTTAAAGATTTATTTATTTATTGTGTATACAGTGTTCCGCTGATATGTATGCCTGCAGGCCAGAAGAGGGTGCCAGATCTGATCACAGATGATTGTGAGCCACCATATGGTTGCTGAGAACCAAACTCAAAACCTCTGGAAGAACCTCTTAACCTCCAAGCCATCTCTCCAGCCCATCTTTTATTCTGTGTCTTCTATTCTGGAAGAAAACCTTGCTGGTGACTTTTCAAAAGACTTCCTCTAGGGGCTGGAGAGATAGTTCAGCCATGAAAGAGCACTCGATGAATGTAAGTTCATTTCCCAGCACCTACATGGTTGACTCACAGCCACCTGTAGCTCCAGTGCTAAGAGATCTGACGATGCCCTCTTCAGACCTCCTGGCACCAGGCATACACAAGGTGTACATTCATGGAAATACTCACACTCAAACAAACAACAACAACAAAACAAGCATACAAGCAGAAAAACCAAAAACCTTCCCTTAGGAGACAGTGATCCAGATACACCAGCCAGGATCCATAACTGAAATCCTCCTAACAGTGGCCTCCACCTGATACTTTATCTTTCATCATAACAGCCAAGGCACAGAGTCTAGACAGGTCTAATGGCACTGTGTGTTGGGATTCAGCACAACCTGCCTTGCTGCATCGCTCCATCGTCTCCGTGGCAAGGTGTCTCTCCATCGGTTCAGCCAGTTCCTTAGGCTGAGAGCAGAGGGCTGCCCCTCCTTTAAAGAGATGCCCTAAAGTAGTGCTAAGTTCTGCTGCTCACATCTTAGGGACCAGAACTTGGCTCTGTTGGAAAGCACAGCTGATGCTCTTCCTTCAAGGTGCCTCCAGCTTGCTTAGGTCCAACCATAAATGAACAGAAAACACCAGGCTCCTAACTCCTGCCTGTCGGTCTAGTTACTTCCTAAGCGCCCACCCTCAAACCTGAGGTTTAGAGTAGAAAACTCACAGCCAAGTGTCTCTGCAAGGTCAGGCGTAGGATAAGCTCTAAAATAAACAGGAGGTGAATGGTAGAGATGAGCCCACACATGGTTTTCATGGAACAAAAGACAAATGTGATGGGCAGGAACATAAGACCTAGACAGTGCATAAGATCATAGCTTCCTGATAATCCCAGTGGGGGGGTCATGTCTTAGGATATATAAAGATTTCCTCAGCCTCGGTTAGTGAGCCTCCTACTCTAGGCTGACAT